GACAAAGTATTACAAAGATAAACCTGGGGGGGAGAAGGGGTGAGATGAAAAAGGAAGAATACAAAAGATAATTCCTAAAATAATTGAATCTGAAAAAGGCATTGTTGTGGTAGATGAGTACTAAAAGTAGTAAAAAGACAAATACTAAAAGGACATATATATATATAAAAACTTATAAGAGTATTAGAATAGTCCAAATGGATTATAGAAGTTGTACTGTAGCAATAAATGTCTTTTAAGATTTTTTGGATGGTGGGGTCTCTTCTCTGTTTATAGTAGTCCTGTTGGTCTCGTGATATAGAAGACACAAGAAGAAAAAAAGACCAATCGTATAGAGTGTAAGGGTCAATATATGTGAGATAAGGATATAAATATTCCACTCACATTTAGATGAGCTAAGGCCAGCTCAGGTATAACAGGCATACAGTGGAACAATCCCCGCTTATGGGATATAAGGGTGGTTGTCCTCTGGAGGGAATGATGTCCAACTCTCAGGAAAAGGGATAAATAAAAACAACTAACAGTGCTCTCTGTTTAACACAATATAGAAGTTCTTAAAATAAATAGAAATGTACTCACAAGTATAGTGCAGGCCAACTGCACTCTGGTGACAGCGTTGGTGGTATGATCCCCACCTCGGATTAACTTGTAAGCACGTAGTAAAATCAAATAAATGCCAGGAAAAAATGAATAAAAATAATAAAATTGTGTGTAAAGGGATAGTTGGCACAAGTATTAGCCAAAAAATCTTTTATTATATAAAATACACAATTTTTAAAACCATTTACGCGTTTCGCCACTAAGGCTTTTTCAAAATGGGATAACATTAAAACCTGGCAGATAAGAGTATATATAAGTACATAATCAGTTAAAAATTGGCGCCAGAAAAAGTCATTAGTCAATGGCCAATAGAATCAGAGTTATATATTGCATATATTATAAGTGAAAATAAAAAGATTTAAGTTAAAAGTAACATTGTACATAGTCATTTGTGATCAAAATTATTAAAAAATGAGGTCTGTAGACTTAGAAAAATTTATATTTAATTTAAGCACGTCACGTGACTCGCACAGCATGTTGGGAAATGTAGTGCGCGAGTCACGTGACCTGCGCTTTCATTAGTGGCAGTGTGATGTGAGCAATATAGCTCGCAACATTATGGGGAACAGAAGTGGTAGTTTAGTTGGCGGCACTTTGCCGCATGGGAAATGTAGTGGGAAAGTGCGGCCCCCATCTTGGTGGGTGGTACGCACGTGATAAGTAGAGATGTCGCGAACCGTTCGCGGCAAACTCCGGTCAGCTGACACAGCCCAGCCAATCTCCAGCAGACCCTCCCTCCCAGACCCTCCCACCTCCTGGACAGCATCCATGTTGAAGCTGCCTTCAGTAAGCTTCCATGTTGAAGCTGCCTTCAACATGGATGCTGTCCAGGAGGTGGGAGGGTGTGGGAGGGAGGGTCTGCTGGAGATTGGCTGGTCTGTGTCAGCTGACCGGAGTTCGCCGCGAACGGTTCGTGGTGAACTGCGGCGAACCGTTCGCGCAAAGTTCGCGAACGGTTCGCGACATCTCTAGTGATAAGGGGGCGGGCTTTGTGCCTATGATAGGCACTTGGTCTTGTATAGCAGATAGTGCTAAATATATCAGCATGTGAGCTGATATTTACATATAAAGGGGCAGAGCTCTATGTTAGAGGAGCAGCATATATAATAGCTAAAGGGAAGATCTGTGGGCAAAGAGATGGAAGGGGCCATATTAGCTATGGTCATGCATAATGTATAAAAATACAGACAAAAATAAAAATATAAAAATATAAAAATAAAGAAATTAGTCAAAAGTTAAGTCAGGGACAATATTTAAAAGGAAAGTGTCAGCCTTTTGAGAGATCAAAATATGTGATAAGAAATTAATCCAAACCTCTAAAGATTAGTTTTAAATTAAAAAGCATTATAATGGTGTATACACAAAGATTGACAAGATGAGGTCATATTGGGGTTATCCAAGACTAGAATGCCGTAGGTAACAACTATGAACAGGATATCCCCAAGATGACAGCAAGAACAATGTATACAATTGATACAAAGGCATATGATAAATAGTGATGTCGCGAACACGAAATTTTCGGTTCGCGAACGCGAACTTCCGCAAATGTTCGCGAACCGGCGAACCGCCCGAAACGCCATTGACTTCAATGGGGAGGCAAATTTTAAAACACACAGGGACTCTTTCTGGCCACAATAGGGATGGAAAAGTTGTTTCAAGGGGACTAACACCTGGACTGTGGCATGCCGGAGGGGGATCCATGGCAAAACTCCCATGGAAAATTACACAGTTGATACAGAGTCTGGTTTTAATCCATAAAGGGCAGAAATCACCTAACATTCCTAAATCACAATCAATATGGATTGACACCTGACATATGACATATTGACACCTTGACATATGGATTGACACCTGTCCTCAGAGCCCCTGATGCACACGGACACAGAGCAGAATAGAGACTGGTCCCCTACATAGGGTCACTTGGCAGATATGGATTGACACCTGTCCTAAGGATCCCTGATACACACTGACACAGAGCAGAATAGGGACTGTTCCCCCTACATCGGGTCACTTGGCAGATATGGATTGACACCTGTCCTAAGGTTCCCTGGTACACACTGACACAGAGCAGAATAGGGACTGGTCCCCCTACATCGGGTCACTTGGCAGATATGGATTGACACCTTGTTACAAACTGCTATTTGTAACGGCCCTTTAAATGGCAAATTGCCCTGCTTCCCTGGGTTGTGGAGAAGCCTATTTGCCAGCCTCCTCCCGCATGACTATGGCCCCTGGGAGATTGTGAAAATGTATGCACTTTTATTTGGTGTGTATGGCCCTTTAAGACTGTCGGTGGGCATATTGGGGCTTATGGACTCTTTATGTGACTGGTGCTGGCCCTTTAAACACCTTTTTTGGGACATCAGGAAGATTGGGACACTGCCCCTTTAAGGCCGTGTCCCCAGACTTGTTGGGGACACGGCCCCTTTAAGACGGTGTCCCCTGTGTCCCCAGACCTGGTGCAAACCCTTTGTGCCTGCCTTGCTATTTCCCACTTGGTTCAGTAAATGGGAAATTATTTCAGTTGCAGAGACTAAGTCCCATTCGGCGATGGGACTTAGTCTTTTTTTCAGCCGTTTTTTTCAGCCTTATTTCAGCTGCAGAGACTAAGTCCCATTCGGCGATGGGACTTAGTCTTTTTATCAGCCTTATTTCAGCTGCAGAGACTAAGTCCCATTCGCGATGGGACTTAGTCGTTTTTTCAGCCTGAAACAGACCGACCTCACAGCCCAAATCTATGGAACTGTTTTGGGCAGGAAAATGTGCTTGCGGTCGGTCATAAAGGGACCTCCAGCTAACTTTTTAACCCCTGGATGGATTTGGCTGATTTTTGGTTATGTTTATGTTTTAAGTGTGCTGATTCCAAATATGTAATTATGAAGATGGGATGTGTAGTTTTCAAGTTACAGGGTATGGCTAAAAACTGTATTTTTACTGCCTGTGTTTAATTATGTTAATCTCTTCCCAAACGTCATTTCGTTCAAAGTGGAGAGAATGTTAAAAAAATATATTTTTGTTCGAGTGTGAGAAATGCTTTTCAGCCGCTTCTAATCTTAAGCATCATTTGAGGAGCCATACAGGAGAGAAACCTTATTTGTGGTGTGTTTAGTATTGTTCTGATCAGTTTAATACCTTCCGCGTCTCCTATCAGTGGACGTGTATATGGCAGCCATTTTAGGAACCGTACACCTGGGACCCGAGCAAGGTCACCTCGCTCAACAGGCGACAACATTTGTCCCTGGAAAACTATCCTTGACATTCTGTACAATTTGTATGGAT